GCTCTAATTTCTCGAGGACCTTCTTCAAATAGTTACTGGGTTGGACGGGAACATTATACATCAAAAGTTCCGCCCGCAGAAATAGATTTAAAAGTAGTAGCAGCAGGGCCAACAGCATCTTTTCTATCAAGGTTTTTAGGGCACATTGATTGTGAGTGACAGCTCGCTATGGACCATTTTGGAAAATGAGCGCATCGCTCTGGCGAAGTTGAGGAACAGCCAGGAGGTACAGGAACACACTCCAGCTGAGACAAACTTTCCTCGAACTTTCCTCGAAAAGGACATTTCCTTTCAACTTTGATTAACGTTAAACGATGAAATTGTTTCCCCCCAGTTAATAGCGTGGCGTAAAACCCCGCACTCATGCATCCGTGTTGTCATTCTGCGAGGGGATTGCAATCCCAGGCTATTGGATGCTCAAATTGACCTACATGGAAAGATAATGCAACGGCTGTCTCCTTGTGAGATTGCTGTGGGTATTTTTCACTGTATTTGCTGAATTTGTTCCCACTCAGACCTTGCTAGCATCAGCAGCTTGTTAGCTTCTATTCTCTCTGTCTCTCTTTCTCTGGCTGCCAGGATATGCTGCTGTCATCTCGCAAGCCAGAATTCAAATATCTGCACACAAATTTGCAGACACACACACACACACACACACACACACTGGAGATTTCTCAGCGAGACTGAGCGAGTTTATTTTTGACGGGATGTTGGGATCGAGCTTTTAAGCTGGAATCAGATCACTGTGGCAGGCAGATGTTCCTCTCAGATGGTGGTTAGTGTCTCTTTCGGTCAAAACAACCAAACTGAGGATTGGGGAAATGTTTACAGAGTAACACATCTGTGTACTGTATTCTGTCAAACTCAGGATATGGATGTCCACATATCAAGTAAAACTGCGTATAAAAGTGAAATGTATGATGCAAACCAAATGTTGCGACCAAAGATATCCAAACAAAGTGAGCTTGTTTACTTCTAGCATTTTTAGATGACTTGCCCCGACCGTGCACTTACATACCAATTTCAAACACATTTTCGTTCTGTGATTACTGTATAAGAATCACAGCCGAGGAACATCAGAGGCCTTTTTTTACAATTTGGAACTGGAGTCATTCCTCATAGATGTTTCTCATTTGGTTGTTATTCCTCCGGGATCTCATTTTCCACACTGTGCAAAAACTGTTTGTGGATATTTAAGATGTACTCAAAACTAGTGTACGAGTGTAGAGATGAGCTAATGGATAAAATCAACCATTAGGGTAAATGTAACTTTATATGGTAATGACAATCTATATTGAGGTAGTGCTTTCTTTCTTTTTTTTTTTTTTTTGCTCTGTTCAAGTGAAAATGATGACAGGAATTCAATGGGTGGCAAATCAGGTCAGTGACGCACAAATCCTGAAAATTCAATAGTGTAATCTATAAAGTAGTCCTAGTTATTGATTTACAATATTGCCTGTAACTATGTAATGCAACACAGATATCAAAGGGGTAATAACTGCAGTATTTCAGCCTGCCCTAGAGTCCAAAATGAATCGATAGCTACTGATTTTAAAGTGATGCCTAAAACTGAAATTTATGTTTTTGTAATAATTAAACGTTTTCTTAAATTGTGTTTAAAAAATACACAATTTTGTAACAATTAATTGAAAGCTACAAACGACTTCACATGCAAAGCTTCCATAACTGCTCATCAAATAACTGATGAAATATAATAAAATACAACACTTCTTCTGATAAAAGCTACAAGATACGAAAGAAAGTATCAAATAATTATTTCCAAGGTCAAGATTAAGTCAAAGTTTAACATGTTTGAATGAAATTTGAAAACGACTGGAATTAACTTTCAGCATAACTGTAAACAATTTGTACTTAATTAGCCTAAATATCTTTTTTTTTTTTAACTATTTGGTAAGTTTTTTGGGTTTTTTTAGAAAATTGTTCATATTGATGATCTCACCGTGTTTTTATTATCTTCTTTTACAACTATATTTTTTTCTAAACTACCACAAAATACTGCTTTAACAATACTATTTTGATTTTTTCTTAAATATTTTAGAATAATAAACACAAAAAAAATAATAAAAGGTTAATATCAGATCATCTTTTCCTCATTATACACAGAAAAGTCCAAATCTAGTTTGTAAATGTCAATTTCATTTTATCTGGAGCAGCTCGTTTAGATGTCAACATTTTATCGAGTCCCATCATCGCCACGTCGCTCAAACTCAATAAATTAGGTACTTCCCTCAAAGAAGTCAAATAAAAAAATGACAATAATATTAACCTTGGTGGCCAATCTATTTTCTAGCGTAACTTAACAGCTCCGCAGAGCAGGTCTGGTCGGAGGCCGGAGGCAGTCGTGTCACACTAGTAACGCACGGCGTTAAATGAAAATGTCACACCAAAGTGAAACATCGCTTTGAGGCAGAAGCGCTGTATTGTGTTCTACATGTGAGGTGAGCGCACATTTACCTTGCCCGACTTTCATGATGACTTTCATGGCTCGGCTCTTGCACACGCCTCCCTCCCGGTTCTCGAGGCCCTCGACTGTACCGTTGGAGGTTGCTGGAGGGTAAGAAGGAGAAAGTGGGGGGAAAAAAAGAGGGAGAGAGAATGAGAAGAAGTGGGAGGACGTTGATGGAGGGTAAAGAAGAGAAAAGTGGGGGTGGGGGGGGGAGAGAGAAGATGACACACCGGTTAATGAGCACGTCCATAACGCACAGAACTAATCAATATTTACGACAAGCACTGATTAGCTGTTCCAGTGATTAGCCGTTCTCATCCTCAATCAACCGCCGGCTTCTCTCAACGGTGTGTCTCATTAACACAATAAAGTGAAGTCAAATGAATGGAACAACATTAGAGTCTACTGAGGGAGGTGGGTGCTGAGGTGAAGAGAAGAAACATGGTCAAACCTGCGTGTGTGTGTGTTTCTACTTGTGCATAGTTTAGCAGTGAGGCATGCCAGCAAGACTTCCAGCTGCTTGCCAACTCCTCCAGCAGCTTACTCCCTCTGAGCCACATGTGTCACTACTTGCTGGTATTGCAGCGAGCTAAATGCCTCCCTCAGTGTGTGTGTGTCCATTTTTATATTGGTGCATGTGTGCGTGTCAGCCTCTCTGCATTTGTGTCAAAGCGCACGCTCGTTCCCTAAGTTGAGCGAGGAGCTCAGGGTTGAGGGCTGTTTATTCAATGTCACATTCACTTCAGACACCGCGATACAATTGGCCGTCTATTTTAGGGCCCATGATAATGACCTAGGGAGACAGAGTGTGACTCTGACCTTAACACTGGGCAGCTAAGCACACGGCTGTATGCGTGCTCGAGTGTGTGTGTGTGTGGGCATGCGCCTGTGTGGGTGCATATGATGGCAGCTCTAATTTTGGAATTCCCCAAATGATCTCCATCTCCGCTTAGTCTGCCGTTTCAACTCACTCCCTTCCTCTGAAATGCTTTTGTTTCTCTTCCTCGCATTATCCGTCTTGCTCTCTCTTTCCCTGCTTTTTTTCCCCTCCGCTCACTTCATTTAGTTTTTTTTTAGTCTTCTTTTTTTATCAGCACTATCTGGCTCTACCCCTCCCCTTCCCTCCCTCTTAACTCAATGACCATCTCCCTGGGTGATTGCCTCAGATGGCACCCTCATTATGATGAGATAGTCTTGGAGAGGCTGCTTATCTAATGATGACACAAAGAGAAGCAGACTTGGCAACAGGCAGGGGAGTTGGGTGGGTCCAAACAATGCACTACAAACACGGCTGGCACGGTGCATCAGTGTTTCTACACGCGTTCCCCTGCTAGAAACTGATGTTGTATCGCTCTGTGTTGAAATTTGGCTCCGGAGCGACGTAAAAGCTCATCTAGCTGATTCATGTCCCATCACTCCTAAGTGTTATTAATGTTGACATTTTGTTGCCCTGTGGGATTTCAGCTTTGTGCTTCGGCAAAATTGAAGAAAACCAAATAATGAATTGCACTAATATTATGCTACATTATCAGATCGCACTCAAGAGTCGGCGGCAAATTTACAACGAGAACCACAACATTTTGTCAGCGTGGCCGGAGAACTCGATAATTTGCGAGAATGATTGTGATAACATCATGTCAGGGGCTCTTTGGCAAAATCCCCCTCGCTGTAGACTCAACACGACTGAGTGAACCGGACACCGAAATATATACGAGGGGGCCAGAGGAGCCCGGCGCTGCGCAGGACCAGAAAAAAAATAAGAGCGAGAGAGACTTGAAATTTACGTGGGGCATTAATGTGAAAGAACACTCACGACTAAGTGAGTCTTATGATTTATGTAAAGTCTACACAGGGACTGTGTCTCTTCTAAAGGGAACATTCAAAGACAGTGAGGTGAACAGGCCTGTTTCCAGTCTTGAAGGCGCACACCCGTCTCCCAGCCCCCGAATGGCCCAGACGCTGCCACAAGTGCTAACCTCATCCTGCCATTTTCCACCCAATTTCTTCTCTTCGTTCAATTTTTAAATTTCCAGGGCAAGGTTATACAAAAAAATGAGCTCTTTGAAGATCAAGCTCAAAGGCGCTTGAATAATCTGACTAACAGTGAGCTTCATGCTATGAATTTTATATCCTCTCCAGGAGAGCAAATCTACTCAGTGTTAACTTACTCCTGTCATCTAAATTAACTATTCCTTCAGGCTGGCTGAACGGGCCTGTGCAGTACTGATGTGGCATAATGATAAGTTGCCCCTCTGGGGCCTCTGTTTAGCCAAACAACTGAGACTGAAAACAGAGCAGGATTTATAAAGAGATGATTGCTTTATATGTTGTTTGCATTCAGGCCATTTAAAAGTCAAATAATTCAGCCCTTTACTGTACCAGTGGAAATTCATAATCCGATTAAATGTGTCCAATTTTAACCACATTTCCTTATGTGAATCATTTTTTAAGTATTATTCAAGATGGAAATCAACTAAAGAGACAACTGTTGAGCGCATTTAAAAACCTGCACTAAATCTCGAAACTCGCACACCGTTAAGAAACGTGCATTCCTGTGTTGCTTGATATCGGTGCATTCACATCTATCATGTCAAAGATCAGAGGAAAAAAAACTGCCAGCCATGTTTCTCAGAACCCCCAACCTTACTCTGCAAATAAAGACATACTGCCAGCTTCCTCCTCTTTAAATCTAAAAGCCTTTCGCTCATTCTATCACTTCTTCCTCTCACTCAATTTGTCCTCCCCTCTTTAACCCTCCCTCTCTTTCATTTCATCCCTCGCATACTGACGCTAATCCAAATCTGGATTTTCAGATATTAAAAGGCCGACGGTCGTGTCGCATTTTGGAAAGAGGAAACTGGGGAATTGGGTCTTCCCGTGTGTCTCGGGCAGAGATAAAAACACATGGGGATAAAGGAACGACAGCATGAAGAACAAAGAAACTCCCAGTCTGCTGCTAATGATTTGGGGGAACAAACTGTTTCAGAGTGCAGCGGTTCAGAATACAGAAAGAGCTGGTCATTGCATGAAGGAATGTTGCTTTTTTTTAATAAAGCCGACGGCTCCAAAGAATGGCTTTTGTATGATTTAAGGCCCTTTTTGTGGGTGTGGATCACTGGCCACAGAGTGACTAGTGGGGGGAACAAAAGATCTACAGCTGCTGAAGTCATAAGAGAAACCAGGTGCCAAATGTTGATGTTGGGAAATATCGACAGCACGAATGTATCGGCCAAGGAGAAGCCTTACGGGGGGAAAAAAATTTTTAAAAAAAGAGCTGGCCTGGAAGAAAGGCTCCCGTTCCAACGCTACACACGTACAACTACTGCACACATTACCTAAAGCATAACCCATTAACATGCATATGTGAATGTAGGCGCTTGCAAATACACCAGTGCACACAGACTTCACAAGGACATACAGGGTAGAGTGGAAGGGCTGCTCCCCGAGGTGCTCTGAAGAGAAGAGTGGGAGAAGTGTGAGAGGCGCACCACTGACTGGCCAAGACAACGCGAGCTAAGGCTAGAGTGCGAAGCGGTGGTCTATATATTGCTTTCATACAACGCAATGGGCTGTGTGTCCGTGAGTGTGCGTAACGCTGCTGTGTGTGTGTCTATGCGTGCAACATCTGCCCAAAGCACCAAACCAGGGGATGGATAGAGCCCATGTGACAGACAGAGAGCAGGTTGTTTAATGAGAAAGTGGATGAGAGGTGACATTCATTGGCTACCTTTCACACACACCACCGACAACACTCCCCACCCCCCCACTTCCATTCTCTACAGCATTCAGACTTCCACTTAGACGAGCTGAGCAGGCACTGGGTAGTCACAGTAACCACCAGTAATAATGTCTATATTTTCCAAAAAAAAGCTAAATACATAAACAGGCACAACCACAATCTGATCATTTACACTTAGCATCAAGGAAAAACACCAGCACAAAGAGCTTTTTCATCAATTTGAGGCAAAAGCAGGGAGCTAACGCAGCTGTGGCAGGTATGAGTGTCTGCATCAAACAGAGCGTCACAGCAGAAATGGCTATTTCTCATACCTGCGACCTTCCTATCTCGGCTTTTGTTTACATTACCAAACCAGAATCAAAGTGGTGAGAAGGAAAAGAGGGCCTATTTGCACAAAATATTTCACTCCTGAATAAGCACAGAGAGGGTTAGATTAGGTTTATGCGCCTGATTCCAGAGATAACCCACCCCAGCAGATCTGGCATGCATGCAAGAATGCATGCACACACTCACACACACTCTTCCACAGACACAAACACAAAGTGAGGTTGGCAGACTGGAAATAATACTGGGGGATCTAGATGTTTGCACTTTGAACCTTTTCTAATCCTTAGTATTAGGGCATGGCTAAAGCCTGATTATGGTGGAATGAAATGGATCTAAATAGATGTCCCAACCCATCAGCCTTCCATTTCTTTGTCCTAGAAATAGAAATGGAAATAAGTAATCAACCTCCAACCTCTCACTGGCCGACTCTCCCACGTAGCCTCCTCCGCAGGTTTGGCACCAGCAAAGAAAATTCATTCAGACTTTTCACATCATCTCTGATGAATTGGGTGCTCTCTCAGCCTGGCCGAGGCTTTTTTTTTAAATTCCCGTGTTTCTTTTCAGTAATAAAACCTGACAGACAATATAAAATAGTCATATCTTCAACGCTAGTCCCGCGAATTTTTTATGCCATTTTGGAAATTCAATATTGAATTTAGGTTAGAATGAATGTGGTTTTGAGTAATGAGGGTGGACACAGATGATTTTCTCATCTTCACATTCAAAAGCTTTTTTCTTTTTTTTTTTACAATTTACTCTTGCAAGCATCACCATGCACCAGCTCTGGCATTACCACGTGCTGTCTGCTCTCAGGAGCCACTTTGCTGAGGGTACAGAGAGCAGGTAGCAGCAGCGTTAGAGACGAGGTTTAAGGCTGGTTAGCGGCCCAGTGCACACAACTGTTGCTTAGCTCACTGCTTCAGTATACAGCCAGAGGGGGAGCTCCTCTCCTGTGCCCTCATTAGAATCCTCTCTCTCTCTCTCTCTCTCTCACACACACACACACACACACACACACACACACACAC